TTCTGTTCCCGGGTGTGGAGCCACACCACTCGTCTGTGAGTTGCCACGCTGTGGTGGTGGCTACATAGAAGAACTAGAAGGATTTACAACTAGAATACACAACTATGAACTGGGGCATTGGGGAAGAAAAAAAGGAGAGAAAGATTGGCAACTGATGTTAGCTCAGGGCGAATCTTTCTTAGCAAAAAAAAAAAAGGTCCAGATAATGTCTACTTTTGAGCAGGGAGAGAGTGTAGTGACAGGAGGAAGAAACAGAGGTAGCTTCTGCAGTACTGTAATGTTCTATTCTTTGGCCTGGTTGGTAGCTACATGGATATGTTTATTCTGTGATAATTCACTGAGCTGTACACTCACACACTGTGTACTTTTCAGCATGTTTTATGTTGTAGTAAATATATTTTAATATCTTTTGAGTAAACAAAGGGGTAATAATAATAGGCATTTTGAAAGTAAAAAAAGTGATAAAGTTATGTCAACTGGGAACAACTGTTATGAAGCACTAAAATAACCAGTAAGTTAAAGTCTCATTAATATAAAAATATTATGACATTAAAATTCTAAGGGCACTTTAATAGGTATAGACCAAAAAAAGTACAAAAAAGAAATTTTAATGTTTTTCAAAGTAAATGAAAAAAGTTACACTAATGCCACAATTATGATATGACCGTCCCTTTTCCACCCCCAGATACACACACACACAAGCAACTACTACTTCGAGAACATTCATTCCTTTTTTTTTCTTCTGGCTTTTATTTTTGCTCATCATAGCAGCCCTGTACTGCCTTTCTCTGGATTTCATTTTTACGTGACAAAAACTTCTCTCTTTAAGCCACTATTACTTGGAGATTTTCTGTTAACAGTGGAAACTAATCCTAACAAATAAAGTCAATTTGAGTGAAGAATCCAAGTCAGTGTCTTTCTTCATTTATTTCTCCAGATCTGCCTATCTATTAACTCTTCTATATTGTATCTTTATGGGGCAGACTTCCATGTGGGAGGGCTTCTGATGGAAATAGTAACAGTGCCTGAGCGGTTGGTAACTCTTCCTAATGGAGGGTAAACCTCAGCAAGTCCACTTACCCAGATGTAAGTTTCATTCTCCAACTTATCTTTTTATTGGTAACAAAGTTAACGGTTTTATCACTAGCAAACATACGTAACATTTAAAAAATTGGTCTAATCATAATACATAAGGAAATCCATATTTAGAAACAGGCACAGAGTTGAAAAGCTTCTTCTCATAGCCAAAAAGCTAATACAAAATAAACTCAACAAGGATTTTTTTTGATAATGTGACAGAAGATACATAAACTCTTTTCCCTCAATTCATAATAAACTGAGCATTAAAAAGAATAAAAACTAAAAATATATAATATCTAATTTAGGGAAATAAGAAGACAAAAGCAGCCACATAAGTTAGATATTGTGCTATACATATATTGTGTATTAATATTGAATGCTGATATTGATTAGAATCAATTACCAAGAAAACATAAAACATTTAAATAGGCCAATCACTGTAGAAGGAACCGAAAAAAAAATTGTCAAAAAATCTACAAACATGGGCTGGCCCCATGGCCAAGTGGTTAAGTTGGCACGCTCCACTTTGGCGGCCCAGGGTTTAGTCAGTTCAGATCCTGGGCTCGGACATGGCATGGCTTATCAGGCCACGCTGAGGCGGCGTCCCACATAGCATAACCAGAGGCACTCACAATTAGAATATACAGCTATGCACTGGGGGGCTTTGGAGAGAAGGAGGGAAAAAGAAGATTGGCAACAGATGTTAGCTCAGGTGCCAAGCTTTAAAAAACAAAAACTGCAACAAAAGAAGGGGCTAGGCTCAAATAGTTCTAAAGTGAGTTCTAACTTACTCGTATGGAACAAATAATTTCTACGTAAACTACACTAGAGTATAAGAAAAACAGGAAGGCTCTCAAATTCATTTATTAAAGTTAACATAAGCATAATATCAAACCTGATGAAGACAGCAGAAAAAAGAAAAAAACACATTATTCTATTAATACAGAATGCAGAAAGCTCAAATAAAATGCTAGTGAGTTAAATGTAAACAGTGTGTACATCTGAATTTATAAAATAAAAATTTACTAAGAAAAGTGTTTTAAGAAAGTAGTGCAGAAAATTTATAATACTTTGGGTTGAAGAAAATTTTTTATATAGCAATGAAACTCTAGAATTCAGAAAGGAGGAAAAAGATTTGAAAGCAAAGTATTTTTAAATCTTCTTTATGGGAAAAGGTACCATAAACTAATTCAAAGAGAAATGGCTGACTAGGAAAAAACACAGGACATACGTCCATAAAAAGGGTAACATATAACAAATGAGACTACATTTATACCATGTAATATTAAATGCAGGTAGTAAAGGTTATGTGGTAGATATACTGTCTTAACATTAAGAATGCCACAATATATAAGAGTGATATGTTACAAATAAAATGAATAGTGAAATTTTAAAAATGAAAAAAATTTCTCTATATATGCATATTTGTATAAACAAAAGGAAAACCTGAGATGCTACACAAGTGTTAAGAGTGGTTATAAGAAGGCAGTGGCAGAGACTGCGGTTATTTAATTTTATTTTAGATACCACTGTATTACTGAACAACTGCATTTTGTATATATTACTGTTATTTACATGACAAATTTTCTAAAATCATATACTACCAGCTAGAATTTTTCAAAGGTTAATCATTTACCTATATGAAATACACACATTAATTATAAACAACTGATAATGTTTATGTAAGAATACACACACATATACTTCTCAATTACAGATGGGTGAGAATGTGCAGATATAAACTTCAGAGAGATCTGTGGCTGTCTCACAATCAGAAAGTAAACCAAAAAGAGAAATAAATGAGATACAGAAAATACATAAAGAATGCAAAGGGCATCCCCCAGGTGATGGTGAAAGAAGACTTCAAGATATTAGTTACACACCAGGAGGCAAGGAGAACCAGTGCAGACTGGAGCAGGTCACAAAGCTCCAAAACAGACTTCCCCAAGAAGAAAAATCGACAAAGAGCAGAATAAGAGGAGATTTAGGCCAATGGTGGAGAGTCTGGAAGTGAATCAGTGATACACACAGAAAACTAAGCAAACCAAACACCAAAACAACTAACTCCAAGGAAAATGAAAACTGTGGGAAAAAAATTAACAGTAATAATGTTTATGAGTTTATGATTTAGTTCAATTTTGAGTAGCATACACAGAAATAAAAATACAAACTGAGAATTGTGATTAATCAAAATGACAAGATTCTACATGTAGGTCTGAGTGTGTGTGTGTGTGTGTGTGTGTATGTAGAGGGAAGGATGGGAACTGTGTATGTGTCAGTGTGTCTATGTGGGCAGGGCAAGACAGAGGGCTCATCCTCATCGTTCACATCCCATAGTAGGGAATTCAGCAGGAAATATGTAAACTAAGGATCATAAAAACAAAGCATTCTACTTAAAGATACAGAATTAACTTAACAGCAGGAGGATTAGATAAAATAATGGAAAGCCACTACCATGGCGGGGAGAGGCGGGGTGACTGCTCTTTGTAGTACGTACAATTAGTTGGCTCCTTATAATAAATGCAGATATTAATTTAATAAAAGTGAGATTTCCAATTTAACATCATGATGCCCAACTTGATAAAAAATAACGGCACTGTAAACAATAGATAACCTTTCCACAAAAAATAGATGAAAACTTTAAAAGACATACATTCAGTGCTGTTTAAGGAAAAAAAATGTAGACTATCTGGGAATAAGGATGAATTTTTAAACAGAAAAGTTTTTTTTTTTAATAAGATAGTGTTTCATCCTCTCCTTAGGAGATCTTAACAGGGTGGTCAACTCATCCTGGGACCAGAACTTCCACAGTTTCACACTGAAAGTCCCATATCCCAGGAAATCCCTGAGTCTCAGGCACACGAGGATGGTTGGTCACTGGAATCCTAACAAGCTGAAACGTTTACTGTAGGAGGCCACGATGCACAGGGCCTTTGTTCTGTACTACGTACTGAAAGAAATAGTGAAAATAAGCAGTGTCGTGAAGATCAAGTTGGATGATGGCAAAGTAAAGAAAACTAAGGGAAAACTTTCTATTTTTAATGTCAAGAAAGGGAGCATGTTGCTTACTATAGTGAACTATACCTTAATAAAGCTGGGGGGATTTTTCTTAGAAAAACAAACACTGAAAAGTGGGAAAGAGTGAAAAAAACTTGGAAGATTTTGGTTAATCTAAATAAAATGACAAAACATAGTGTTTTCATCTTTTGAATCTGTAAAAGCAAATGACATTGTATTCAAAACAGTATAAAGATCTGGTTTTAGAGAGAAAAAAGATCTAGCTATGGAATAATGCATCAACTTGACGGTCTCACATATCTTGAAATGACTAGGTATCAAAAATTAATTATGGGGAAAACAGTGAATATGAAATATGAAAAGGTTATAAATAAACAAATTATTTTAAAAGCAATCAAATGAAGAAAGCAATTTAGTACCAAATGATAAAAAAATTAAATAAAAATATTGTAATATATTTTAATTAAATTTAGTTAAATTTAATTAAATAAAAATATTGTATTTTTTTTTTTACAATTACAATTGTAATTGTAGACTAAGAGTACAACCAATGAGGAGAAAATAAATACTACCAGAAGCAATCACTCAAGTTTGTACTTTGGCTCATCAATAGCCTTTATTTCCTTCAAATAAAAATACAATTTAAATTTCTGTTAACAAATTAGAAGTGCACTATTAGGGTAACTAGAGCAAAATGCTTTGTTTTGTTGAATGATCTGGATTAAAAAAAAAAAATCAGTCAAATTCATGCATAAAAGAAACCCCCAGAACATCAGGTGGCCATGGCTACAAAAGGAAAACAGAAATTATACACAAAGTCAAATTTAATTCAAGGAAATAAAACATTTTAAGAAGTTTAATTTAAAAAAACTAAGAAAATAAAACGAAAATGTTAATTGTACCTTAAAGAACCCTGCTTCAGGGCCACACCTGTCATATACATTCCTGGATTTACCTATCGCCATGATAATACCTTGCATGTTCGGTGTCATCATGATCTGCCACAAGGGATTTAAAGTAAGAGTTTTTGAATGGTTAACATAAAAAAAATCCAAAATCAAAAATAACTTCTTTACATGCAAGTTAAAAGTCTTCTGTTTTTCACTATATATAAATCAAACGTTGCATTTGTTTATAGCAAATGTGATCTGATATGCATGTAAGTATCTTTCAAAATCATCCACACAGGGCCACAGCAAGCTCATATGGTGCCTTTGTGCACAATGCAAAAAGGCATCCTCTCAGAACTGAAGAATTTTAAAAAGGTACCCCCTTCTTGATAAGCAAATTAGAAAAATGTGCTGCTTTCTGAGAGAACCATTTAGAAAAAGCAACACTCTTTTTATTTACAAAGATGCCTCTTCTTTAAGGCTTAGGGAGCTCAGCATGAGCTCAATTTCAACTCCACTTCTGCCTGATGGCTCATCACTCCTGCACAATCATACAACCTAAACATCCAGAAGCAGCAGCCCCATATCCGTGTGACTTATTTTCAAAAGTTCCAAGGCACATGCACTGTTAAACTGTTGCTCCAACAAATCAAAAAAAAAAAAACAACACAACAACACAGAACTCTGCCAACAGCATAAGCACTTGCACAAAAGATAGTGCTAAATGATTAATCACAATTTTACTTTTCTTTTTTTTTTTTTGGGGTGAGGAAGATTAGCCATGAGTTAACTACTGCCAATCCTCCTCCTTTTGCTGAGGAAGACTGGCCCTGAGCTAACATCCGTGCCCATCTTCCTCTACTTTGTTTGTGGGACACCTACCACACCATAGCTTTTGCCAAGTGGTGCCATGTCCGCCCCCAAAATCCGAACCTGTGAACCCCGGGCCGCCAAGAAGCAGAATGTGCACACTTAACCGCTGCGCCACCAGGCCGGCCCCTGCAGTAACTTTTAAATATCTGCAAAGTGGCAAAACTGAAGGCATTATGAAGCTATTGTATCACAGCAACCAAGAGACTGCATCCATTACTTCTGATTCACTGAACCTATTACCCCTATTTTGGATTATACACTGAGAGTTGCAATATACCTAACATTCTCTGCTTCAGAACATCCTTCCGACCAGTTCCTCTCTCACAAACCTGCTACTTATCCCCTTTATGGCCCGTGCTTTCTCACACTGGCACAGTAACATTAATCACCTTATGACACCTCCAATTTTGGCGATTAACTCTTATACAATAGCTTAATTATAATCTTGGAATAAGTCTGAAAAAAAGTTATTTGGAAAAAACTATTTAATATATATTCAATTCTCATCCGTGCCAGTAAAAACTAACAAATGATAGAATCCAAGGTCTTCTCTGTTGTTACTCTTCAGAAACAGCTTTACTGGCCTGCCCGCAAATATGGAAAAGATCAAACATGAGAGTCTTAAGGAAAAAATGGAAAAGGAGGAGCAAAAGCTGATGAGACCAGGACAACAGCACATGTTCCTCTGGATTTTCAAGAACATATCATGAGAAGCAAAAACGCCTCCACACTATTAGAAAGCTAAGCAGATGAGAATTAACAGTGAAGAGATAAGAATAACTGAGATGGAGGTGCCACAGTGTATAAAACACTGGTAGACATTCAGTAGTGCTGATTCAATTCACAACTCAAGGTTGCAGGAGCAACAATATCCATTATCTGTTTGCAATCAGGCTGTAGGATCTTCCGGCAGGAAATGGTGGGCAAAGTATTATAATTCAAGTAAAACAGAAAAGGAATATAAAAATTATTTTTAAGTGCTCAAACTTTTTGCTATTTAATTAAACCTTATTGTAATCTACCAACCTGAGAGTTAAATGATCCTATGTCTGCATAAAAGAATAAACTCTAAAAACACAAAATTATTCTTTTGAAAAATTCCATAAGCTTTCTACTTAAATTTTCATTTGAAATCCAAAGTTCTGTTAGCAATCAGTAAGGTAATTTCAGACCATGGGTGGCAAAGCTGAATGTTATGCAGCAAAAGACACAAGTGTGATGGTGCAGACATGCCCGAAGTACTTGTGTTAAACAGCAAAAAATAAGCAGGGCTAGTGCAGAGGGCTCTGACTAGTGCAGAGGGCTATAATAAAGATACCTCGTCATCATAACCCCCCTCCTTCGCCTCAATCATAAATTTCCCTACATGAGGGATCGCCACCTCTACAACTTGCTGGTTAGAAGGTGGTTGGCTTGTGGTATTTTCAGGTTTCTGCAGAAGAAAATCATTAGTATGAACATTAGAAAGGAGAACAACGAAAGCACCAAGTTTAAGTGTATAGACTCGAGTCTTTTAAAAATACCTGCACCTGCTTAGCATGAAAGTGAACATCAAATTGAACATCAGGAGCAGATGCACTAATCAAGTAATAATACAAGATTCACATCTCTCCCTTTACATCGCAACCACTAAACTTTCACTTTTTTCTACAAAGCATTTTGGACTCCAAATCCTTAAAAATTAAAAAACACTAGAGTCGTATTTCCTACTGTTGTCTTTACAGCTGAAGGTTTTATTCTTTAAAAATTCCACTACCTCCATAAAGCCTTTCTTGATATCTCCCTCAAATAAGATATGACCTCCTCTGAACCCAGGAGAATTTGTAGGTTTTCTTATGATTTCACCTATCCTTTCTAGTATTCCACTGTATATCCACTTATTATACATACTCTATTGTGTTACCTCACTCTGTACAGCCTATGAGATTCTTGGATGATATATTTATATCGTAAGTGTCCAATGAATAACTCACTTTTGGAAAAGCTGTTGGAAAGTGATCTCCTTTTTAACAACTCAATCAGCTTTATTTCATTTTTTCTTTGTTAACAAATTCTACGAATTTCACTAATCATTAGTACAGTGGAAGCCAGTATGAAATCCAGCAAAGTCCACTCAAAGACACTAATATGGTTCATTCAAAATACTGTTCAGATTTCAAAAGAACTTATTTTACTGAATAGATTTATAACTAGCAGATTCACTATTTACCTATAAACAAATTTTGAAAGTACTTAAGGTGCTTGAAAGCCGTTTGCTTAATTTGAATCTGCATCATAAAAGTTTTCCTAAACAAAATAAACTTCAATTTTGACAAAAGGGGTTTTATTTTAATTTGAAATATAGGTAGATTTTAGTGATGAGAACATTTTCTTACTTTCCAAAAGCACAAATGCAGAAAGAGTTTAATTAAACCATAAAGTAAAACTAGCGGTCAAGACTGACATTATTATTTTTAAAAGAAATGCTAACCATAACATATTTAGACAAGGTTTCCTTACTTTGAGTCCTCAACTTTTCAAGAGGAAATAACCAACTTGCATGTTTGTTGTGATCACGAGAGACAATATTCTGCTAACTCAATACCTGGTACATAACAGCTGTTCTACAAACGACAAGCATTACCAATATTATTATATGATGATGCTACTTTAAACTGCTTACATTTAAATAGTTCTAACCCAATATTACTATCAAATATATCCTATAGAGATATGCTTGGCCTATGACATTTAATTAAGGATTTTTAATCCTTCTAGTACAGGAGAGAAGAATAATTGTACTAGGTCTCCATTCACAGGAGTGAAATATAAGCAGGTAAATTAAGAAATTTGTCTGGTCTTTGTGGTGAAAAATTTCTCACAAGCAAACCAACCTAAAACAATACGATCTTAAGAAGAGAAAATATAAATTTAAGCCAAGTAGCAACTGGAAAATGTATTACTTAGAATACTGATCTTACAAAACAACATATTCCCTTTGAACAAAAAATGCACTTAGGAGAAATAAATGTCTTATAAACCTTTCCAGTTACCACAGAAGAGTTTCAACAGCATAATACTGACAAGTTATATGGGTGAAAGTTAAAAAAGGGAAGAAAACTTTTGGTGCATATAATAATTCTGTTGCATCATTTATCAAGTTTAGATACCCTAAGGTACCACAAAATTTTTTCATATAAAGAATTTAAGGATTCACGGAAGTAAAGTAAATGTGTATTTATCTTTTTCTATTATTACTGGGCCCTAGATGAACATCTTAACAAAGGCATCTTTGAACATCTTGAAAAAGTTAAAAATAAGTTCTAGAGTTAATAGTTGCAAAAATTATTAAAATAAAAAGATTTTTATTAATTGCCTAAAATCCATTAAATATGCGAGTTTTAAAAAAGTGGTCTCATAAAAGAACTGTTAGAAAGCTTAATATAACTACATCCCTTCTGGCCCCCTTAATATGCTCAAACCAGTAATTCAACTATGCGGAATCTATTTCTAAAGAAATAACCTGAAATATGGAAAAAGTTTCATTTCTAGCAGCCTATTTATAATAATGCAAAAGTAGAAACAAATATACAACAGGGAAATGGGTAAGTAAACAAGAATTTAATCACTCAATGGAACGATACTCAACCACTAAATATTTTTTACAAAGAGTTTTTTTAACATAGGGAAATGGTTACGTTAAAATGTTAAGTGATTAAAAGAAGAAAAGGCAAGATATAAAATTTTATATGCAATAGTAACTCAACTACAAAACTAAATCCCGAACTCATATATAAAAATAAGAACGAAAGAAAACATATTAACAGTGATTAACTTTGGGTACTGGGACTATGCATGATTCTTTCTTGGAGTACACTCTTCTACATTTTTCAAATTTTCTAAAATATTTCATTTAAAATTAAAGACATTCTTCTAAAAAGTAGGCTGTCTGAACATCTGGAGAGTCTCTCTCCATGGTTTCTGTGATTCCATGCTTTCCAGGGAGTTCTTCTTACACTAAGGTTGGAACTTAATATATTGGATATTTGTGAAATTACTAGGATTTAAGTAACAGAAGAAAACTAACAGCTACTTAGTGTCTACATTACATGCTAGGCACTTTCAAAAAAATGATCTTAATCCCACAATCACCTCCATTTTATGTAAAAGAAAAGTGAGGTTTAGAGAAATGAAGCAACTTATTAAAGTCTGCATAGCTAGTAAGAAGTAAAACTAATATTCAAAAACCCAGGACTATCTAATCCCAAAGTCTGAAGACTCTTTTCATCTATGGAATTAGTTTCTAAACTATACCTTTAAATGAGAAAACGCAGTAAGTGGTTACCATGCTCCTAAGCAACTGCCCATGAGATCAAGAACCACAGGCTGCTTCAGACAGCCACGATTAACAGGCAGCCATGACTAACGTCTTCTAAGACATGTTGCAGGATTTATTCCGACAGTGGGGCCAACTGTTCTGGTGCTTCTCCAGAACAAAAGCCAAATAGAAAACGCTGTCTGTCATATTCTCTCAATGCCGTCCTCCTTTCTCAAGGAAAGCGCGGAAGGTTGCTAGCTTATAAAATGATGTCCATATTAAAAGCAATCAAAATTTAAGCACTGATTTCTACAAATTTAAATTACACATGATTAGCCAAACTAAAAACATCACGATTCTACATTAAGCTAAGTAATGCTTTTAGCTTTCTGATGCCAGTTAAAAGAATGATACTTATTAACCATTATGCAGGCCTAATTTTAATTTGCAAAGGTCCCGGCAAATTAAAGTTTCTATTAGGCAAAATTATTTCTCCCTTGTATCTTCTTCTCTGCTTTTCTCTCTCCCTAGGTCTTCCTCTTCTATCACCCTCAAGAAGTAGACATCCCAGATCCGGGAAAAGAAGCATTTTCCAGGAGCTGCTTTAGAGTTAGCAGGCGTTCACCTCAAGTTCACTTAGAGTCTCTAGAGCATTTGCCAAATTCGGAATAATCAAAAAAACCTACTCTACATTAACATATTGTTTTTTATGGTAAGATGATATATAATCAAAAATTTTCACACAGCAAGTAAAATAAAAACGTAATTTCTGATTATTTCACTGATCAAAACATAATTAACAGAATACCCTATTATTTGAACATTTGGTTAACAAAGGTTTTATCATATTAAAGACTTCATTGCAATTAGCAGGTTATTGTTGGGATTAAGTTCACTAAATAGAAAATTATGTGTTGAAAAATTATACATCCTGTTCTATTTAGGTCTCCAGGAGTGCAATCTTCAAATACTAAAATTGGCTATCATGAAACCTGCATTAGAGCTGCTCGTCGTCACTAACAAAATTAAAAAAAAAAAAACTACTAAGCAACTGAATGGTTTTGCCGTACAAAATTCTTGAAATAACATCTCTCAGAATGTCATACTCATTGAAAACATAGTTTGATAGCAACGTGTTCAATTCATTGCTATAAAAAGACACACTTGAGAACTATAATACCGAAGGATTATAATGACAATTTTGTACAGGTTGCTCTACTGAAATATGGATAAACCATCTTGTAAGATCATATTTATCCTGCTAATAATACTCTAACATACAGTATCTAGTATTTTATTGTTAAACACACTCCATGGAACAATGAAAATTATACCTTACATTTCCAACTATTCCAATGTAGTATGACTAAAGATGGAGGGAGGGGTGAGGGAAATGAGAAATAATGCTAAATTTTATACTTCTAAGTTCCAAATCAAATGACCAATGATTATGATTTTTCATAATTCTCTAACAGGAAGACAGAAACTTATCTCAAAAGAGAAGCATTTTAAAAATTACAGCTGAGGAAACTACAGCCTAGGGGTTAGGTGACACCCCCTGTCATTCACTGGTCACGTTCACGGCAGAGCCACCCCCAGGCCCCCCGTCTCCTGATTTCCAGATGGGTAGTTCTCCATTACACTGCTAGGAAACGTGAACATGACTATGTTAAGAGAGCTAAAAGAAAAGTTCTTACCGACTGCAAAACTGTTTCAGGACTTTTATCTTCATGCTCGTGTGATGCCTTGGTAATTAATCGAACAGTTTCTTCTTTCAAGTGCTTTGAGAAATCACTTCTTGATGGCTGCTCTAGATATTCTGGCTCTCCTGCTTGTGCTTCACAAGAAAAGAATCAATTGTATATCTAATATAAATCACAGAGGGTCTATACTAAGATGAATTTGTTATTTATTTCTAATTCGAAGTCATACAATAATCAACTTTAATCTTCTATTTAAAGTAATATATCCTTCAATATACAACACCTTCCCCAGAATTTACCAAATAAATAAATAAATCACATCCAAAAGTAGTCAAATAATTACTGAAGAAAGTACTCATTACAGTATATAGTAAAGAATTCATAGTAAACTTTTCTGCCATGATAAGTACCAAAATCTCATTTTAGAAAATCATTAGAATTCTACCAAAAAAAAAAAAAAATGTGGTTTGTACAACAATCCTAGTCTGAGTTTCCACAGAGAGCACAGGAGCTGTTTTTCTGGCCCCGGTGTCCTTTTTCACAACTAATTGACAAAACCCTAACCCTGAATGAAGCCAACTTGCTGTTTTTTCTGAACTTCCCTCTGGTAGCTGAGCGCTGTTAGGGGAAAAAGAACTTGGCAAAATGGTATCAGTATAAGTTCAAGACTTCAAATACCAGCCCTGCAAAGAACTCACAAAGTTATACCAACTACCTGTGTTCTGAGGTCCAGAGCCACAGATGCAACAATGTATGCTGAACGTCCACTAGGTGTTCTCTAGACAATCCCAAAGGTTTTACATAAGTGAGCTTCTGCCTATCTCTCCAACATATCTTCTGTCCTTTGCCCTTTGCTCAAAAAGGGACATACACTAGCTTTTCTTCAGCTTATCTAAAACACATCAAAGAAGAGGTTTACCTTCCAACCTTCAGATCTTTCCTCATTTTCTTCCCTCTGCGTGTATGCTCACCCACTCTCACTCCCCCAATTAATAACTTCAATATATCCTTTTGTTTAAATACCAGTTCCTTATGGAAGCATTCCTGATTACACCACCTCTAGTGCAGGGTTTCTCAGCCTCAGCACTACTGACATTTTGATTCAAATGATTCGTTGGTGTGGAGGGCTGTCCTACGCATCCCGGCCTCCACCCACTAGAAGCCAGTAGTAGTGTCTGAAGTGGTGACACCCAGAAGTTTCTCCAGTATTGTCCAATGTCTCCCGGGGGAAAAATCACTCTGAGATGAGAACCACTGCTCTAAAGTAACATACTTTCTTTTTAATAGCACTTACCACAATTATGACATAATTATTGTTCTAAGTATTTGTTTCAAGCCCATATCTCCTGCTAGACTGTAAGGATTTTAAAAGCAGGAATGCTTTCTCCCTTTTCTTTGCTATTTCTTCAACACCTAGCATATAATAAGCACACAACAGCTTAATGGAACAAGTGAATTTTATAAATAATTAATGATTGGATATGATGAATAAGAAAGTGCACTAAAATGTTCTACAATGTTACTGGGATTCATTAAGTGAGTCCTTAAGCTCAATCAACTGGTAAGTCCTTAAACTCAATCAAATGGTGGGACATAACAGGGCCCCTGTCAACTTTTCCAATAATGATTAATTTAAAAAATATCTCAAAGAGAAATATTATTCAAAGTGAAATACTATAATTTCAACATGCATTCATGGTCACTAATCTATCCAATAAATTTTAATTAAGCATTTAACTATGTGCCAGGCACTAGGCTAGACATGGCGACTCTGAGGTAAATGAAGCAGCCAGTCTCTGCCCCTATGAAGCTAATAGTCACCTATGGAGAAAGTCACTAGCCAAAGAATCACACGTATGAATTGGGACAACATTACAGTAATATACTCTAGGAATCAAATGGGGGAGGGGTAATTTAGATTATGTGATATGAGATAAACTGACATTTTAGCTGAAAGATGATGGGTTGAGTTTGCCTAATGGAAGAATGAATAGCCCATGTGGTGAGCATGAGCTGGATGTGAGCAAAGGCCAGTGTGGCTGGACTCCAGGACAGGAGGAGAGAGACACCAAGAGATGATGCAGGCTGAGGCAAAAATCATTAACGGCCTTGTAGTCACATAAAAGTTTTGAGAGCAAAAGGAAGTGAATAAACATTTTAAATACAATGCCAATGTGGCAAGTTTAAAAAAATTATTCTGGCTACACTGTGAAGACTAGATTAAGGAGGAAATTAAAACTAGAAGTCAGTGAAGGTACTAGAAAGTACTAGAGCAATACGAGCAAGAGATGACTATGCTTTTGGATAAGTGAGATAGCAAGAGAGGTAGAAAGAATTGGTTGGATTCGAGATGTATTTTGGACATAAAGCTTTGGAGAGTGATGTGAAGATGACTCTGAGTTTTCGGCATGAGTAACTAGGATGATGGAGGTGACTATACCATGAAAAGGCAAACTAGAGGCAGGAATGTTTACAATGTGAGTATCAAGGAGAGCAGTTAAAAGATGTTAACGTCTTCATTTCTGTATTTCCTCACTTTGGAATACAATGTTCTTTCAGGGCCCTCACATGATGAATAAGATAAAAAAAATTTGAGGCTACTCCTTCAGCTTAGCAGGCTTCTTGCTTCGTGATAAGTGGCTTAAGCCAGCTGCTTTCAGGCTTACCAGAGAGAAACTTCTTGGAGATAAAGTTTTTACTTGTATTTGCCCTTCTTTGTCTCTTCTTACTATAACAGATAAAACATCAATGTTGATAGTAAGATGTGAGCTTAATGCAACGAGGGCCAAGAAATCCATCTGGACTGACAATGGTCTAACCCACTGAAATCTGGACAGTCTACGTAAAAAACGTCCTTAGGAGCAAAAGTAATTTTATCTGATCAACACAGTCAAATACAACTTAGGTCACCAGGGTCAAGGTTTCCTTCCATATAGGGATTTGAGTACAAAAACCTTACGAGTAATGCTGAAAGGCTTTGCCTAAATGCCATACAGAACTATTTCTTCTTGAGCTTTCCCTGTGTAATATCTTTCACGGCTTATTTGAGAAATGCTATAGTCACAGTAGGTGAAACTACAATGATTCAAGATGTGGGAATTTGGAAACAAAAACCCAAATTTCATTCCCAAAATGTTTATTGAGCATGTGCCATTGTCAGTGCTGTGCTAGGTCTTAACAATGTAAAAAAGAAGTTGACATAAAATTCACTCATTTTAAGGAACTCTCGAGAAAATCAGGTAAATATATACTCCACTACAAAACAAAATACCTAATGCAATATCAGAGTTATGCACAAGGTTCTACAGAAGCACTGTGGACCCAATACACACACGTGAGATGATGTTGCCTGTTAAGAAAGATTTTCTAGAAGAAATGCCAACTGAGCTGAGTCTTGAAGGATTTGTAGAGAGGATTATCTTGGAGATGAGAAAGAAGAAGATTCCAAGCAGAAGGAATAGCATATGTAAAAGCACTGTAAGGACAGACAAAAGATTAATAAAATCCTTGCTATTAATGAGCCTTTACACTAGTAAGCAAGTCAATATAAGAATAATATAAATTTGGTAGTGAGAACAGATTAAGAGAAAAAACATAACAGTTGCTATAGGGGTAATATTAGGGGATTGATAAAGACTGAAGTATGAGGGAGGTCTTCAAGAATAGGCAAAATGTGAAGAATCAGTGACTAGAGGACATTTTTTAAATGAAAGATACTTCATGAGCAAAGCCATAATTACAGGAAAGTTCCCGATAAGCAAGAGCAATGGGGAATAATTCAGTTTTGATGAAATATAAGATACTCTCAGGAAGGGAAGTCATCTTGGAAGATTATAAATAGAGGGTCTTCACAAAAAAGAAAGGAGGTTTTGGCTTCATTTTGTCAAACTGGAAGAGTAAAAAAGAGTAGAACAGACATATAACCAAAATGAGGAAAATCAAAAGCTCTTTCCACTACCCAGAGATAAGCACCATGAATATTTTTAGTATTATATACTTGCAGACTTTACCCACACACATTTTTCAAACAAAAAGAATTAGTCTGAACACACTGTTTTTAACTTAATATAACAGACATTTTTCATGTCAATATAACTTTTACTGGTTATATTGTGTTCTTCTGTTTGGAGGGCTCATATAACTAATACTCTACCATACATTTAGGCAATTTCCATATCTTTGTTAAAAACAATAGTAGGACAAAAAGTTTGGCTTTTTTGTGTGTGTGTGTTTTTATTCATCCTGTCACCCTAGAGAAGCCTGATCATTGCCGGCCTGTATAAAGGGTAGGGACTCAAGAGATCACACCGTTTCTTTATGTTCTAACTGATACTTCATATACTAACTAGCCTCTCAGTTTAATGTACTATTCAGGCTTCAATTTGGAATACAAATGGTGATCACATTCAAGAGGCATCCACCATATCTCATTTATTATGTTAGATTCTGGAAATATAGATAAAATCATCACCCAGTCCTTGCTTTACGTAACTTGAAAATATCGAAGATACTGTTCATTCTATCAGTCTCACTCTCAGGAAACAACTGTACTTTCCTGGAACATCAGCTTACTTTTAACTTGTAGACAGTATTTGTAGAGAAGACTCAGAATCAATTCTGCATGCCACCTTTTGCCAAGTTCATCAAATCTTATGGAATGCATTTCATACCAACATTAATGATTTTTACCCTATTCTTTTCTACCCTGATTTTTTTTTTTTAAATCTGGGTATGCTATGTATGTTGTAAGGACTTCAAATAGTTTTTGAAAAAGAGAGGAGTAACACAAGCAAAATCACTCCGGCAAAACTCTTCTCTCCTTCTGAGTAAATTCTCTGTTTTATAAATACAGCCTAGAGCCATGCTGCTTAACCAGAAGTACACTTCAGAATTATCTGAAGATCTTTTTAAAAATATATATTCTAGACCCTTCCTCCAGAGATTCTGATCCCAGTAAGTCTTGTGGTCTTACCTGGGGTGTGCTGTTTATATACAGAAAAAAATCCCCCAGGTATTTCTGATGTCTACACCCATAGTAGAGAATTGCTGGCTAGATCTCTAAGCATACGGGTTCAGGTAAGTGTTCCTTTGCAGGAAGTAGGTTTAGGGAGGTAGCGTGAGATGGACCAGACAATACTCTCTCATCATCTATTACTTAGTTTCAGTAAGACAATGAATGAGACTAAAGAAGTGATGCCTGTGGGCTTCTTGGTGACATGTTAGCAGAAGAGGAACAAACATTCACTTAATTAATACCATATAAATTAATATTCTTATTTAGAAGTGTCACTCAGAAGAAATTGGATTTTAGTGGTTTTTATGTTACAGCTTCACTGAGAAGATTTGCAGAGAGAGAAGAAGAATCACTCTGATTTTATGAACAAGATATCCTTGTATTATTTACATTAGTCACTCATAATCCTAATGTACACCTGAGGGATTTAAAGATAGGTTCTCTTTGATATTCTGAAAACACTATACTAAATTAAACAAATTACTTTTTTTTTAACTGTATAGAAAACTGTGAAGAGAACTAGGAAGAAGATGACATGGGTATTAAAGTAAAATTTCTCTACTAATAATAAGGGATAAGTGGTTCCAATAAACATTATACTAAGTTCCCTTATTCAATTGTGATCTGTTAAATTCCCCTGCAACAGAGGATGGATTTCTTATTATGATATGTATGATAATATAGTAATAGAAACTAACCTCCTAAACGATAATCTCACACCCCAAATTTATTGTCCTAGCACATACTAATTCCACTAACTCAAACAAAGTGCCTACTTTTAGCAATTCTATAGAGCATACAACGTTTCCAACTGAGGCAGCATTGCCACTGCTTTCTAAAAACCCAGTCTGGAAGACGGTCATCATAACAGCTATATGTGAATTGACCGATTCCGTCTATTTTTTAGTTGTTTTGGCCCCTTTCAGAAGTATTTCTGCATCTCTTCAAGTTTTTTTTTTAGATACTAAAAAGAGAGACATAAAAATATACACCTTATACCTACTGCTGAATTTTTTTTAAATTACAAAGCAGCATATCAAGTGTACAGTAGAAAGAAATGATCAGGATAAAAGGGTGTGTGGCATATAGACGAGGTTCTTTTTATACAGAGGGAGTATAAGACAGACAAACGTAAACGGTGGGGCAAAGTTAGCTAGTCCTGGCAGACAGGAATATTAGTGGGGAATAGTATTAGTTTGACTTAAGATGTAGAAATAACATATGTTAAGTCTGTAAATTTAGAAAGTCTTACGAGAAACAGACAAGATGAAGGGGAAGAGACTGTATAGACAGAATTTAATATTTTGTGTCACAAAATACAGGTGGGCCAAGAATAGAGTTGGAGCTTAGCCAATGAAAAGAGGATTCACCTTCATCTGAGTGCTTAGGTATCACTACCACTTATGCCAATTATGCCGTTCCGTCCTCCTACCAATAGTAAGAACAGCCACATGCAAATAGAGTACATAAAAGTCAAGGTGGAATAACACCGTAGCTCCATCTTGGAGCAAGTTCTAGGGACAGGTTTGGGAAGGATATGTACAGAAGACAAGGATGAAAGCATGAAGGGATGGAATTAGCTCAATAATGAAAGGAACTATAACGTAGTTACTACACTGCGATTTGAGCTCAGGAACCTCTTGATATCTGCCTAGCTATTTCATTTCCTACTAATGTGGACAAAGTCACTGTAATGAAAGTGCACTGTTGTGAAACCACAGAGCTCACTTGTTCTATGTGGTGGTCCTTGATGTATGAGAAGAAAGTGCAGCCATGCATAATAATAAAGCTCACCAGACTACTGTATTGCATTTAAGGTTCAAAACGTTGGTATAATACCATTGTCTTGGTCTTTTAAAAATTCTGAATCAATGCCTCTTAAGACTGAGATCAAAGACTCAACTATTCAATTTACATGAAAACAAGTTACAGGTCTGGAGAGATGTGTGCATGCCTGCATCAGTCACAATACCGTACTGTGGTACTGTGAATCTCCCATTGAAAGAAAAATTCCTTCTAAAGTTCAAATGAAAATGCTGAGACCCACCTAGGTAATGCTGCATGGGAATCTGTCAGTAAAGACGAAATTAAACCAATACCTAAAATGCTTCCTTAAACCAACAAAAAAACATGCAAACGTTGCAAAAACCAAAAAAGGATATCCGAAAAGATCCAGTCAGTTAAAAAAAGAGACAAAGGAATTTGAGCAAAATATTTGTGTTTAATTTATCTCTTCTCATTTCCCTAACTAGTACAGAAAAATAGCACTTTTTCTACAGTAGGAAATATGTTGCCTTAAAATATATTAACAACTCAGTGATGATGAAATTAATCTTTAAAAAAAAAATCAGTTGACATTCTATTTTCAATTTTGCTAAAGCATATTTTCTCTATTTTTTACAGTGTTTATTTTATTGATTTCATCAGCCAAAAATTTTAGAATTTTCTTAATATTTATATTTTTATATATTTATCTGTTTTAAGATCTGCACACATTTTAAATTAGAATATATTAAATATTTAGTTTTGACTAATTTTGTTAATTTTAAGAATTCTGAAAAAATCAAATAAATCCTCTATATTAATAATAGTATTACACAAAATATACACGGATATAACAGTAATGCAATTTTGCTCAAACACGAAATTACTACAGTTCCTTCCCTCGATAGCTTTAGTGAGCTGGCTTTGGTTACTTGCTGGTTTCACAGCTTTTCCAAGCTTCCTGTCAAGAAGGGTGAAGACCCATCAAACTAGACAGGATACACAGAGGAGGAGTTAACAGAATTACCTCATTTAATTTGAAAAGGTCTGTATGTATACAGTGGTGTCTGGCAAAGGGGTAAACTAAATTGTTACCTGTGGTTATCTCTGAGTGATGGAATTTCAAATGATTTTTACTGGCTTCTTCATACTTTAAGATAACTAAAGTTTTTTTTCCCCAATGAGTATATCTTATTTTTATAATAAAACATCAATAATAAATATGATATTAATAACAAAATACAATTAATAAAAATGGACTAACCTGCTGTTATAGAAGATTCTGACTCCCTCAACTTCTGAGATGCTAAGAGTTTTTCTTGCAAAGCTTTCTGGGCAAGTTGTGTATCCCATTCTTCTAGTTCTTTTTCAAATCGCTGGTTGTCTTCCTCAACAAAATCTCTTAAATCCGGTGGTAATGTTTCTATTCCAACAAGGGCCTGCCCAGTTTCTTTATTAAACTCCTCTGCAAATCATATTTCAAAAACTAATATAAAATTAAGAATTAAAGGAAAACTGCAAAGCTCAAAATTGAATGCATTTCAAATGGGATTTAAAGTATGAATTATTACCATTTGGTAAAGCAATATTACTCAAAAATTAAAAGAAAACTCCAACAAATACTCAGGAAAGCAATGATGCAAATATTTGACAATCTAATATAAGTAATGTTCTCAGCTTTTATTTTTAATCTGAAGAGTAAAAAATGGAACAAGATATAAAACCAAAATTGTTTGCTATTCAAACACTGACATAGTACTACTTTTTTAAGAAAATACTAGATGTTTGGTTATTCATTAAGTAAAACTTATCACAAAATGAGAATAACTCATAAATTAAGCTGAAAATAGAACTAAAATTCTTTTTTATCTGAAGCAGTTAAGCAGCAATACCATACTTACATGCAATTCTAAATCACAACTAATGAGTACAGCAAGATTTTTTAAAACATTGCATAAGCAGTATTTAAAAGAGTTACTCAACTTCTACTACACACATACAAAATAAATTTCAGCTTTCGGTCATAAGTCCACTGCCTCATTAGTTCTGCTTAATTGTTAAATACTAAAGGAAAATCAACTTTATGAATTTCAAAGAAACTTTTATTAAGTGTTTTCTTTATGCAAAGCCCATATTAGAATGTGAGAAATAAAAAGATTAAGACATAGTATGGTATGGTGCCCAGCTCTGAGCAGATCAGAGTAAAGCGGGAAACACAAGCCAACATATAATCCCAACGCACAATCAGTGCCCGAAAGAGCTATGCTATGAGAACACAGGGAGGGAGACTGCCTGCCAGGTCAAGAAAAGCTTATCAGCCTCAACTGAATCTTGACAGATGAGCAGGAATTAGACAAAAGAAGAAAGAAAGAATAATATTACCAGATAAAATAAAAATAAAAAACCTAAGAGCATATAGATATAAATATGTGAAATGATTTGGTGTAAGCAGAATACAGCAAAAACTTCAAATGCAAGTAAAGTACAAAGGTCTGAAATGGACAACGGTTATAAGTGAAGCTGGAAAGACAATCAGAGGCCAGAAAATGGAGGCCTTATATGTTGGGGTAATGAGCTTGAATATGGATTAACGCGTGATGTAGTCATTAAAAGGATTTTAGCAAGAAGAAACAGTCAGATTTACATTTTATAATAGTTACTAAATAAACTTTGAATACAAAATATATTCCAATTCTCAGTCCTGGTCATATCACTTTTCAATTCCAGTTTTTGCACTTAACAGAAGAGGGCTTCCTAATGATATCTCTCACCCTCTACGTGAATTATGCTTAACTAATCACACCAGAGAAGAGAGTCATATTATTTAAAAATATCTATGTCACCCTATATATTTCATATTCTTACCTTGTATTAAGAATTGTGCTTTATCATTTATGTACATTAAACAATATGCACTGGCATTTCTATAACCACCAAAAGAGTCCCTCACTAGCTCTTCCCATGATGATTTTGTCACAGCAATATCATTGTACTTCATCCACCTGTTTTCATGATGATCAAAAATGTAAGCCCAGTAGTGCCCGGCATTAGCTTGGCCTTCATGAACTAAAACAGCATGTAAGCGATAAGGAACCTAAATATGAAAACAGAAGAGTTAAAGTGCAGTTAAGTAGTCTACGAGACCGCATTCCATAAAACCCACAAACTCTCTGATTAGAGGATACCATAGGATCATCCAGCTTTTAATGGGAGAAAATTGACTGAGATTAAAATTTTGAAAAACTTAAATTATGAAATTAAAAAAAGGGGGAAGGTAAATAAGCTAAAGACATGTAAAGTAGACAGGTGTGTAAGCAGGGTGATTTTCAAAACTTTGAAAATGTATTTCTTATGCATCTATTTGTTGACCTGTTTATTTTTTGCAAATAAAGAACTTATAATGAACATGTTTATATATAGCACATGATTTCTCTAAATGTTCACAATCATAAATTGATGGCTGAGTTTTGCAAAATGGCTGATATGATGTATACCAAAAGTTAAAATGTTACTGAGCCCTATACTTTCTCCCATAATCTTAATATCCTTAAACAACCATATAATTTCCCCCATCGGACTTTTTCTTTTAAATATTAAGGCCTTTTGGAAAATCTTGATGCATTTTATTGTAAAATAATAATAAGAGTAAGCAATAAATACAGTATGAGAATATAACTGAATGGGGTATATATTAATATGGAATCTTTAAGATCAGCAATTTTACAACAAAACAGGTAAGGACAATTAAGATAAATAATATAAAGATAAATAAAAATATGTATATAATTTTGATAATACCAGCTCCAAATTTCACTTACTTGGATCATAGATTTGTCAGAGTACATTAGTTCAATTGTTCGATGGATTCTGGATATGCTTTCCTGCAAATCTAAGGATAGAAGACATCACGTAATGATTAACATTAAATATGTTTCTACTAGGACTTAAAAGGTAGGGATTAAAGGTTTTCCTACTAATATGTTAGAAGAATAAGAAAAAATTCCTAAAACTATTCTTTAAAAAATTACTATTATTAAGGTCCAAAATCTCATTGCATGAATGACTCTGAAGTTCCTCAAATTTAAAATGGCCAAAAGTGTACTCATTATATTCCTACTCTGTCCTCTGAGGTGGGGACCTGCTCATCCATTAGGCTGCCCTTTTCAAAAATGCATTCTACTTAGCTATTCATATCATTACTCATATCATTATGAATAACTAAGGGAATCATGCCTGATTCCCTCCTCTCTCTTACCTCTTGTCAATGACCTACATCTGTCAGTTGTCTTCAAAGAGAGTATCAAACTCATTCATTTCTTTCCTCCCTCAACCACTACCTTAGTGTCAAAAGCTTCCTAGCTTCCATCCTTTTGAATGTAATTTTATAAAAACAAACACAATCTGCCAAGTCCAGGAGAAAATTATCCAATACCTAGCACAGTGTTCAGGAAACACTACATAATTAAGGTTTGCCAATGAATTCTTACATAAAAAATTCCCTTATATATAAAAAATACTAAGGGTAATCATTTCAGTTACTAATACTAATTGTTAGTCACCATCACATCCTATTTACTCTCTATTAAATTAGGACTGCTCTTTATTTACATATTGCCTATAAAGAGTCAAGTTGGGCATCTAAAATCCAACAACCACTACTGTTTAATTCCAACCTTTTGGCATAAAACAGTAGCTCCTAGAATTTTAATTTTTCAAGATCAATAAAATTAGGATAAAATTGGGGAACAGGGTATTATATTTTAACATGTAAGGAAAAGTTATAATAAACTCTACCATAAAATATGAACAGCACTTCGTTAAAAAAAAAAAAAAGGACATTTTAACAACAGTAGAGTAGGAAGAGGATACTTCAGAAAAAAGGAGAATTCCTTCCAAGAAAGGACAGACAACAACTTTACACCAACACGCATACTTGTGCGTGCACACACATATGTGCCCCACAGAGCACTGTCCTTATTTTTCTTATTTTGCTACATGCCAATTAAAACTCATTACAGACTGGCAGTGACCTCATAGATCAAATTTGGAAATCTCTGTTAAGTAGACTGAAAATTAAAATTCACATTTCTAATGATTAAAGAAAATTTTTTATCATTTGAACTCATTGTATAAATATCAGGGGAAGTACATAATTGCTAAGTACAAAATTGGATGCTGTATGTTTCACCAATGGAGTAGCTGTGAATACCAGATTGCTATAAACTTAGAGCACTAAACTAGAAAATCAGATCATCTGCTATGCCATTAATCAGCTAAGCAATCTAGGGAAAATCTTTCAGTCTCTCTGAACCTGGTAGTAAGATCATAAAAACTGGAAGCCAGACTAGTTTATCTTATAGAAAACATTTTCTAAAAAAAAAAAAAAATACTTTATAGTATTTACAGATGAAATCAACAGGTGATTTCCTTTCTCAATTTTAACATTATACAGATCCATCTGAGGCGACAGTAGCTATGCTGTGAGAAGATTCTTACCTCTGGTGTCATTTTCTATTTCTGTCCTCCAGCGATGTAAACAGCTTTCTAGCACAGAAAGTTCTTCTTCTGTTATGTGCCTTGGTGCTGGATGCATGGGCAAATCTGGAGGTATCCGAGACTGTGTGAATGGTTTATGTATTACTGATCTCGATGAAATGGCAGCTACTGACGCAGGTGACGTGCTTGGCAGTTCTGAAGAAGGAGTTCCCTGTTGCTCTGTTGTACTGTATTTTTAAATCACAGAATGTTTACTATTAAACTTTCCAAAATGAAGCTTTGGACAAAGACTATGCCAATCACACAGTATTAAATTGCCTTATAATTTCAAAAGGAAAAGGTCTTCTTTAAAAAAAGAGAAATATGTGGATTAATAAAATATCCTAATGAGATTCTTAATATATGAGGACTACATTATTCTAAGGATGAAACTGTGGCTTTATGGTAGAAATGGCTTAATCATACTTACTTAAAGAAAACAAATCTTCTGTATACTAGAATTATAAAACCTTCCTTGCTAATATTTACTAGCTCATATTATAGAAAAAAAAATCTAACTTAACAGTATTATTTTCACAGATAAAAAGTTGAAACATTTAACATACCAAAACAACCTAAAGTATAATTTTGAACAGAAAAAAATACGATGAAAATTTCAATCCACAACTATAAAATCTAGTGAAACAATGAAATAAGCCCCTCAAAGACATACAATCTTCTAAGTGAATCTAATCTTTTTAGAGTCCACTAAAATAAATCACAACATGCATTTTCTAAAATCTTCTTTAAAGGCATCAGTTACATTATTAGTTAATATAGGTAACATACCCGTCTCTTACATCAAGAAAACTTTTTACCTTGGTAATGTCTGTGATGACACGGAACCACTAGGTGGGGAACTAGCATCAATATCATCGATAGGAGAAGTGCAAACAGGTTTACTTGAGGCAAATTCCAAGGCGTACTGCAGAACATCTACCAGGGGGAATCGTTTGGGACCCGAGCCATAGCTTAAATATCTGTTAACCATAAAACGTATGAATGCTTTTATTTGTATCTAAACCACATTTGTTTTTTTCAATAGCTGTTACAAAACATGATAAAAACACTTCAATAATCTTCCTCAACAATGGAATTAATTTTGCTTTCAAATGAAGACAGTAAAACTGAATACACATTCAAGAAATAAATGTTCTCCAAAGGAAGAAAACCAAAGCTGATTAAGACTGAATGTGCATATAAACTGTCATAAATTTTAAATGCTCTAAGTTGTAATCCAATAGGAAAATGAAAACTGACAGTTCCATCTCCTGAGCCTGTTTTTATTTTTAGATCTGTCATCTGGTCTCATGATCAAGATAGTGACTAATATTATCCTCCTACCTTTTACCTCTGATTATTTTTCAGTATGATTACTGGTACCTTTTAAGAATAAAAATTATTGAAACATGATACATTATTTTTGTATAAAAAAGTTTTAGGCTGTTAATTTTCAAATTAACACTAAAACAAGAAAATACGGATTAGATCAGATTAGATCTCCCCGGCCATATTTCAGCCTGTAGACTTTTGTCTGAACTACAGAACATTTGACAGTCTAGACTCTGGTGTCTTTTGGAAACAATCCGCAGCTTAAGACAAGAGTGAGATGATATTCATGCACGCCACGACCCACTAGTGCGAGGGGCAGCCATTCGCTCTCCCCAGGGATGTGCTTTCTAGGCAACCCTTGCCCACCAGTTTACACATGACTTGTTTCCCTTCAAACCTCTGTGACCCATTTCCGTGTTAAGGAGAAAAAGTCGGCAATCGTTTCAATGGAGATCTTAAGAGTAACACTTAGTCTCATGCAAGAAGAAACTTTGACTATTGATTAGTTTCACTTTGTATCTATTTTCAGCACCATGAGTATTACCTGTTGACAGTGAGAATATTTATCTTAAACCACTAAAATTATCTTCTTCCAATTATGCCAATTATGTATTATTTTAGTTTCTAACAAAACTCAAAACTAAACTACTCTAGCAAAATAGAAATCCAGAATGATTATCTACTCCTAGAACTATAAAGCACCAAAAGCAAATTTAAAACTAAGGAGTCTAGATAGCCACTACAAATATGACTTCCTATAGTTAGCTCATAATTTTGTAAAAATTACAATACCTTTCTAGTCTCTGTTGTAATACTGTGAGGTAATCTTTTAGTCTCTTGATCTCTTCCCTCTTAATTCTTGTTATTTCTCTGTTTCTGAGCATGTATCTATCAGGACAAAGAAAAACAGCAATCATTAGTATTTCTAAATATCATGGAAATAGATATAATAAGTCGAGCCAAAACCACAGAAGATCAATTCATTTGAAATTTTATGATAAAATATCAGACAATATAAAATAATATTTTTAAAAATTTTGACAGAATTGTAATACAAATACAAAAATAATCTTTCTTTAAACTTCCTTAGAATATTATTCCCAGCAACTATAATTTTCTAAATAAAAAGAGAACTCCATTTTCCTTGACAAGTGGAATTATTATGCAAAAAACACAGATTAATTCTAAGGAAATTAAGCAAAATTTTTTTAAACACAGTAACAATTCTTCACTTGGTTACTAAACTGTTTCAAAAATGTCATCTTGTATTCCAAACCATACCTGTCCAGATATAAAACCTGAGGAAATTCTAATTTGTTGTGAATTTTTTCTGGTCTTCCCAATGCCTGATTAAATTCAAATCTTGACAATTCAAATGTTAACACAGGTGGTAGTTCAGTAAACCAATGCTGAAAGAAAACAACAACAAAAAATTGTAATATCTCCCTTCTGTTTTCTCCATTGCAACTTTCGGCATGAGATGTTAGCACTGGCATTTTTATATACATCATCACAATGCTGATGGTACAAATAATTGATTGGTTATGTAATTTAGTGAAAACTCAACTTGGTTCTAGAAGTTTTCCACACTTCTTGAAAATTCCAAGAATGGGGATAAGACACAAGCAGGAAAGAGAAAAGTCTTCTAACAACTCTCATTTTTCCATGATAATTCTTTACATTAGAATTTCTAACCCAAAGAGAGAGACACTGGTTAAAATCAAGGCTTAGTAGCTGAAGTTCTGACTTCTTCAATATTATGTCACTATTACTAATAGTTATTACAATCAACCACATTGCCAAAAACTTAGGACAATCTAAGCTGTAAGATGCAATACACAAAGGAAAAAAGCTATTTTTATAGCATAAATGATCACAGTTCTCATGGTAAAAACTAGAAACTGATATTTTCCTGCTTTAAATTTAATTTTCCTATTGGAATTTTGACTAATTTAAGAAAACATCTATGACTAACAAATATATAGTTTATACTTATAGTAACTATATTTAAAATCTTTTTAAATGACTAGTGTTTAAAGAATTAAATGCCTCACTGATATGAGCCAACTCTTCCACAAACTTCGGCAACTCTTCAGTTAAGTGTGAAATGCAACAACACTTGAAAAGAAAATTATTTTCATAAAACAGATTCAAGTTTTACATAAACAATATTTATTTAAAGGGAAAGAGAAATGAACAAACCTGTGAATCAACAAATATAGAAGTATACAATAATGTAACAAATATTTTTAAAGTGCTTATTATAAGCCTTGCAATGTACTACTATAAAAAGAAATTGCCACATACTATATTGTGTGATATTTTCAAGCACCACAAAATGCCACCACACAAATGTCAATAAGCTAGGAGTACACTAAATCAAATTCAAATGTCGGAAAAAAGCAGGAATGATGCACATTTGGCAAACTGGATTTGACTAAGATCTTGAAAGTTGCTACTTTTCTCTAATTAAAGCTAATAGTTATTCAAAACTATTTCTCCCTCTAAAAATGCTAATGATTACCCGAACTGAGATTTCCTGAGTTGTATTTAGTTTATCTTTTACTGAAAGCTGAAGTTTAAGGAATTTGCTTTATATGGATATTACCTGAAATTGACTAGAGAAAGTTATGAAAGATCTAACATTAGAAACACCTCAAGTTTTAAAATTTCTTGAGCAGAGTTTATTTTCTTCTTACATAACAGTGGCAAGAATTTTAGTTAGTTCTAATCCACACTTGAAATTACGATTAAGAATTAAAGAATACCCCATAAACATCACAAAGAAAACTTTTGATGCTTTAGCATAAATTATCTACTCCATTTCATGATACTCAAACAAATAAATAAGTAGATTTCAAAAACTATTACTTTCACATTTTATTGCAATACTGCACATGCCATCACTACAATTAAATAGTTACATACTTTAATTCATGGAAACCTACGAAGGCCAAGAGAAATCAAATAACCCAAATTAGAAGTATGCTTCTGTGTAGATCATTTAAAGTCCAGAAAATAGCTTCCATTCATCACAAAAGCATGTTCATAATTTGTGATGTAATATGTCTCTGTTGTGAATGCATTTCCTGTAACATCGACGACAGGTTTTTCCTACTACAGGAGTAGAGAATTTCAATTTCTCATTCCAAAGCTGATGGGGACAAGAAGAGACAGCCAGAAGTTCCCTAAATTCACTTAAAAAAATATTAGGAGTATATCTAGCTCTGTGATTTTCAGATTAGAAGTACAGCAGTATGTAACTAGAATTTTAAATAATATAAAACAACAAGGTTTTTTTCTTTCAAAATATGTTTCCATTCAACAAAAAACTGCATTTACTTCTCTAAGATAACTAGTATGCCAGGTTTGTGAGCCACAGGTCATTAAAGGTAAAAACAATGCTTAGATTCTGCACATCTCTAAGCACATATTATTATTACATTATTTAAGGATCCCACAGGGGTAAGAGATTAATGCAGTTACTGAGTAACGCACTTACATAATCTGCATTAGCCACAGAAGTGCTCCTGAATCTATCACGACTATAAATCTGACCTGTTAAATAGAAATATTTTCTAAAGAGAATGTAGTCATTTTTTTGAGTTATAATACCTGGTTTTTCTATTAATATGTTGTAAATACCTTGCTTTTGTGAGATTGCCAAGAATGCCAAGAAAAATAAAGAAAAAGCAGACCTACCATTCCAAATACCCCACAGAACACCAAATAAAGCCAGATGTAAACTAAGCACGAAAGCAAAACCTTCCTATTCCAATTCAAAAATCAGTTTCAGTCATTTAATCATCTTCACTCATTTGCCCTTTTCTTTTTAAAGATCAGTTTCCCATATAACATCTACATATATCTAATATGACAAACGTAGAGACTGTTTCTCTAATTTAGTTTCTAGTTCAAGTTCTGTTAAATTTTCTTTCAGTACTCTAATTATAACTTAGTACAACTTTGGGAAGGGAAATTTGGCAGTCCTTCCATTTTTAGATGAGTCTGCCCTGTGACCCACAGATTCCACTTCTAACTAACCTTCACTCCTAAGTGCTCCAGGTACTCACAGAATGACATTCTTTAAAATAATCTTTGTCCAACTACTGTCTCATAGAAGAATTAAATCAATTTAATTTTATTAATACAAGCTTTGTGATACTATGCAGGTTTTACAAAGAATGGTATAAAGCTATATATTGACATGGAAGGAATGCTCACAATATAGCGGTCAGTAAAAAAATGCAAGTCTCAGGACAGTATGAACAGATGAAATCCAAATATTTATGCAAGCATAGTAATAATCTAAAAAAGTACAACACATTATCAGTAGTGAATAGCCACACCAGAAGTGAAGTATTTACTATTTGAAATTTTTTTCCTTCAATAGACGATCAAAAAATATCTCCAGGTTTCCTGGAGTTTGACTCATCTATAAATTGCAGATTACTTAATTAAAATTTAAAATTTCATGATTTAGAAAAATATTTTGTAAGTAATATCTTACACATGATCGTTTTCAGTTTACTCAGTTGTCTCCTAGTATATCACTCCAGAAATTTAAACTCTTATAGTCCACTGGATTTTTAATATGAGTTATTATGGAAACAAGAGGTCTTCCTATATTGGTTGAGCACAGCTACTTCAGCAAAAGATATGTTTTCTGTATCAAAGTAAAATCAACAATTTTTACTAAATAACAGTGTAAGAGATAAAAGGTTACTACCATCAGGGACTGGAAATTTAGAAATAAGCCTAAAATGTTACTCATTGGTCTTTATAGAGACTCAAGAAGAAATAAAACAGTTATTCTGAAGGTCGTAATAATATAAGACTATAATTTAAGTATATTATTAAAAACTTTGAGATAGTCTACTCTAGCAGGTGACAGTCTCTTAAACCTAGCTGAATTATTATTGAAACTATGAGTCCGGCAAATCCAGGCAATTGGTACTAGGAATCACAGGTAATCAAATTTACTACAATTGAGACTGCTTAGAAATTGCTGAATTCACAGAAGATAACCAACCACTATATTCCTTCAATTAGATAGAAAAACCTAGGCAGAAAATATATACTGTACTACGGGGCATTCAGAGTGAAGCCAAAGATGGAGGACAAATTAGATTTTTTAAATAATGAAATTCAGATTCAATGTAAGAAAAACATTTTTAAAAGCTAGGAATATGTGAGAAAGATTATTTACCAATTAATTACTAAAACATTTACCAATAAGCCACAGTGTATTTCATTTATAAGCTACTTTGACAACGTAAGGAAAATGCCGTCCCTCCTCCCCCTGCCCAAACCCACCATCCTCTTATCTAACAGAAAGCAGATCATACTCTGGGCCGAGGGTTGGGGGGGGGGGCTCTGCTTTCTTGTTCCATCATGGGATCCTGGGGGAGTCCCAATCTTTAGAGATCTGTTTCCCAATCAATAAAGTAAACAAGCGTAATTTAAATATTCTTAATTAGAGGTCTACGTCAGAATCACTCATGGAGCTCTTATGCCAAAGTACCAGATTCCGACCTAGATTCTGATTTGATAGCTTTGAATTGGGGCCGAGGCATCTGCTGAGAATCACTGAAGTAGATGATCTATGATGCAGAAAGAAAAACTACTTCAAATATTTTCTCTTTCTCTCTCTCTCAAAAAGTCAAAAGATAGTCAATATTATTTCTTTTTCTGTTCGAGTGTGCGAGGGAAGAGAAGGAAATGAGGATGGAGTTAGAACAAGAAAAAGTTAATCCTATCTTTTAAAAAAAAGCACACAATTCAGATAAAAGTAATTTATTCTCAAAAATACAAGAACTCAGTCCCTTTTCAGATAAACACAGAGATATTATCACTTAATATTTATTAAGCACCTATTCAGGGATAGAGACCTCAGAAACTTTTTGATAGCACTGGGACACTTCATTCATTCAGTCAATAAATATGTGTTACATAATTCTATTTGCAGTCACCGTACTAACCACTAGTGACAGAGCAGTGAATGACACAGAGGACCCCATCCTCGAGCATGGCACTTACAAACAGACAAACTGCCAGCAACTGCCAAATGATGTTTGGAGCACATGATTTGTCCTTTGCTTTCTATTACAGTAACACTCTCTGATGGATGAATGTACGGATGGGTGGATTGATATACAGACGGAGCTAGAGAGATGAATGGAGAGACAGAGGTGGGTGACGAAACAGAGACCACTGGACAAAGATAAATATGTTTATAACATATTTTTTAAATTATTTTTTTCTTGAGAAAGCAAGTTCTTCCATCTGCCCTTCAAGCAATTATACAGCAAATTTACAAAAAAAAGGAGTCTCATGTTGCCTATTTAGGCATGAACAAATTCCAATAATGTTTGATGTAAGTAACATGTCTTCATAAAATTCCACCTTAACATCAGTGTTTTTCTTCTTTACTTCCAGGACTAGCATGCTGTAATGACTGGTACCTTGATTAAGAAGTCTGAAAAGACTGAACAATCTACTAAGGAAGGATTTTAACAGAAAATTTTGAGATAAACTGTGAGAGAATTTAACATAGATTATAGACTGTATTGAGTGCATGGGTCTCTCAAATATGTCTAAACTACCATAATGAAATCCAAACACATATTCCGAGTATTTGCTCAACTATTAGGTAGCTACATAATTAAAGCCTTCAGTTGTGCTTTACAGCACTGTAAGACAGACCTGGGGGAAGGGGAATAATGAAGATGCTAAACTCACCTCTTGGCCTGATTTTCCTGAATTCTCTGAATGTAAAGACTCAATTTCTCCTTCAATCATAGCAGCTTCTAGGCACTCGTGTAGATCTTTGAATCCATTGACCTGAAGTGGGTACTGACCAAACATTTCAGTATTTTCAAATTTTTTACCTATAGGAGGGGGGGAAAGTTAATTAAATTAACGTTCCTCAATATGGTCTTTTAGCTACTAAAAGTAAATGTCTATATAAATTATCTCCTGAACCTGAAAATTCTAACTCCAAATGATGATGTTCCAGAGAGTAGTGGGTTAATGTAATTTTCCTGTTGGTTTATGCATGTGCATCCATATCCAGCACAGATATTAACTACACACCCATACGTATGCATATAATTTTATACATACATACGTATGTTTGTATATATATATATGCTTATTCTTTCAAAAAGTGCCTTCTAAGGGCAAGATACTGTGCTAAACACTGAGAATATGTACAGCAGTGAACAAAAGGGATATGGATCTTAAGCTGAGAAAGCCTTCAGCCTCTTTTGGAAGAACGACATTATACAAATTATTTGCACATGCAATTATGAACAAATAAGTGTTTTAAAAGGTACAGTGAGATGGAGTGCAGTGAGAGGGTATAAAAAAGAGAGCTAACCTAGTCTTTGGGGCTGGACGGTTGAGCAAAGAGGACTTCCAGAGCATGGTGACATTCTCGCTGAGACTTGAATGGAGAGTGGGGGTTAGCCAGGCCAGAATGTCAGGGAGCTGTGAAGGATTCTTGGCCAAGGAATAGCACACACAAAGACTCTAAGGCTTCAAAGAACTTGCGTGCTTGAAGAACTAAGGGGAGGACAGTACAGCATAGGGGAGCAATGTGGAGATGACAATGAAGAATGAGGGAGGGGGTCAAAATCCACAAAGTTTAACAGCTCCTGTTAAAAATTTTCTTTTCAGTATATTCTAAGCATAACAGAAAGTCACTGAATAGTTATTTCTAGGAATATCAGAATCAGATTTATGTCTTTGAAACATCCTTATAGCTTCTGTGTTAAGTGGGTGGTATTCCATTAGGAGACTTACAGAATCTATCTGGAAATAAAGGTGGAATAAGGCATTAATAATAAGAGTGTACAAACAGATAAAATTACACACACACACACATTTATACATAGATACAATAGGGAGCACCAACAGGACTTGACTGACTGGTTCATAGGCAGGATGGGGGATAGAAGAGGAAGGAAGTTATGGAGAATGATATGCAGATTTAGCATGAACAATTGGATTGAGGTTTATGCACTGAAAGGGGTACCACTGAAGGAAAAGCAGAGGATTATTTTTTCCCTTTTGTTTTAAGGCAGTAGTAGCAATCATTGTTTGAGAATGGCCCGTGTAATGTCAAGTTAAGAACAGAGTTGGATATATGAGTCTGTAACTAAGATTAATCTTCTACTCTGAAGCTATAAAATAAAGACTTGCTGGTTTACTGATAGCAGGAAATCAAGGGAGTGAACGACACTGCCTAGGGGATCAGCAGACAGGAAAAAGAAGAGGGCCTAACCTGAGTCCCAAGGATCGCCTACCTTTAGATAAAAGAAGAAACTATAAATATAACTTCTAAGAAGTACCCACAGAGGCATGCAAAAAGCCAAGAGAATATGGTGCCATAGAAGTTTTTTTACGGAAAGAGTAGGGAAAAGGAGGAGAGAGTAGAGTCAATAGCATTAATAGTTGATCAGAGTTCAATAGGCAAACTGAGAGGGATCCAAAGGACTTGAACACATGTAGAAAATCAATAACCTTAAAAAGATCCCTTTAAGAAGAGGTTTCGGGACAGAAGCAAAAGTGGGATGTTGTGATTACACAGGGAGTTAGTAGGTGAAAATAAATGCCTCTCTTTACCCATCAAGAGACAAATGGATAAAGATGTGGCATATATACACAATGGAATACTACTCAGCCATAAAAAAGATGAGATCTCGCCATTTGTGACAACATGGATGGACCTTGAGAGTATTATGCTAAGTGAAGTAAGTCAGAGGGAGAAAGTCAAATACCATATTTTCTCATAAATAGAAGAAACCACCACTTAGAGACAGAGATTGGATTGGTGGTTACCAGAGGCAAAGAGGGGAGGGAGGAGGGCGAAAGGGGTGATTCGCACATGTGTACGGTGATGGATGGTAATTAGTCTTTGGGTGGTCAACATGACATAACCCTACACAGAAATCAAAATATAATGATGTACACCTGAAATTCATGAAATGTCATAAACTAATGTTTCCTCAATAAAAAAAAAATACACTCCTCTCTTTAAAGAATCTTAACTCTAAGATTAACTGAAAAAGAGTGTGTGAAGGGAGAAGGGTTTTTTGTTTTTGTTTTTTTAAGATGTGAGATACCAGACCATGTCTAAATATTGATGAGGAAGACACACTGGAGAAGCAGGAGCTGAATATACAGAAAAAAAGCAAGATAACGGATAGAGTAAGGTCTGAGTAAAAGCATGAAGGGATGAGATTCTAAGCACTTAGAAGGAATATCCTTTTGATATAAGACTGAACAATTCCTTTATTATCTGGAGAGACAAACAAAATGAAAGTGGTGGAGTTAGCAATGGATCCAGGTTGTGGAGCCTGAAGCTCGTATATTTGAGGAAGTCGTTTTTAAGAACTGCGATACACAACTATAATCACAAAATTAGATTCAGGGCCTTAGACAGGACCCATGATTAGGTTTCATTAGTTTCATGGTAAATCCACAAAATCTGAGCTAAGGTCTTTCTCAGAGAATGAAGAGACAAAGAAGTCAGATTAGAAGTAGAAAAGATGGAAACTGTTATTGCAGAGAAAGAGGTAAAAGACAGTGATTAAACAAAACAACTATGACTGCCAGGTAGGCTTAAAAGATTGGGACCAGTGAAGTTCAGTATCTACTACAAATTCAGCATCCATTACAGTTTGCCCATTTGAGTGACTTTTCCTCAGCAATAGTCAGGTACTCAGTACATGCAGAGAGGAGGTAAATAGCTTAATGAAGGTCAGAGAATAGCCAGAGGCGGTGCCAGAAGGGAATGAAGGAAAGGGAGTTTTAGACACTTATAAGAATGATCATATTGGACAAGGAAGGAAGTGAAGAAAAGGGCTGAGGAACAAAATGGAAGAAATCAATGGAATCGAAGTTCTGGAAAAGCTGAGGAACTTTTGCAACGGGAGTACTTTAGTAAACAAAATGAAAATCACCCCCAATTGAGAGTCACTGGTCTATAAGAAAGCATTAGGAAGATATATGCAAAAGCAGTAAGAAAGTGCTCTAAAATAAACTTTTACTAGAGAAAACACATTTCACTGGAAATGTAGTAAAATCACATTTATATAGCACAATAGCTTTGAAACAACTTACTAATACAAGTATAAAGACTTCAACACTGTTTAACAAATTAAGTATTTTAATAACAATCACTCTTGAGGAAGATTCGCTTTGAGCTAACATCTGCTGCACATCCTCCAATTTTGTATATGACCTGCTGCCACAGCACGGCCACTGACAGATGAATGGTGTAGGTCTGCACAGAACAGAACTTGGACCACCAAAGCAGAGTGAGCCAAATTTAAACTATAGGCCATCAGGGCCGGCCCGACAATCACTTTTAAGAATCAAGATAACACAGGAAGAAATGCTCACAAAGGGTATTATAAATAGTGTCGAGTCACCTGATTAGAGCTACTCTACCACTTCAGAGACAGTGTTCTACTTCAAATAAAAATCACTGTGACATTATGGACATCCCAAATTGGAATGTAACGTACTATGTAAAATATTCCTCTATTTATATAATGAATATTTAGGGCAAACAAAACTATACTGACACTTCAACATAACCTCTTAACTGCATGACTAAATTCTGAGTTAGTGTCCGCCTTTTTCCAAATCCCAAACTAAAACTATATTCAAACAAAACTTCATGGAAATCCATTACTTAAGATCCTAAAGGAAAACCCACTTTCCAAATTTTACACTTTGGATGAACATTCAGAAGTTGATGCATTTGGCCATCCAGGAAAAGTAATTTTTCAAAAATATATGCTTTGGGACTTAGTAATATTATTATTTGAAGTATATCTAATGAGTCAGTTTCCTTCCCTTGTTAGGAAAACCAGAGAGTAACTGGTTAAGCCCAGATTTTAAGCAACAGGCATTTAGGGTAATTGGAGTAATATCATTCAATTGATTTTTCAAAAGATGAGTACAGCTCTTTCTTGAAAACTAAAGTCTAAAGAATTTTATTATCAACAAAACAATCCAATACCCTGACTATGCTAAATTGCTAAATGCAGCTTTCAACATTCATGGACTGGAAACCCTCAAAAACAGCAACCATCATACCAAGCCCAGTATTCAACTCCAAAATTATTTTCAAAAGATCCACCGATTTCCCCCTTAATCCCCGCCTCTCAACAATTCACAGAACCACAAAAGCCTTCCCAGGGAAAGATCATCAGGATAACATTAAGTATCAATTAGCATGTGATAATGCACTCCATACCTTCCTTTTCATTCACTCAATCCTGTGTTTCTAAATAAATGATTAGCTGTAGCACTGCAACACAAACTTCTAGACAGAGTAAGTCAAAGTAAAATGAAAAACTATTCAACAAATAAAAGAGTCACAACAAGACAAAGGAGCTAACAGATAATCTCACTTCAATTCTAATTAAAAGTAAACACGTATAACTATACCTTCAAGTACTCCCACAGCTAGGAATCTTCCATAGAACAATTCTACCATCGGGTTCTTTGGCTTCTCTTCATCCCTAAAGCATGTTAAAAAATATAAATGTGATTATAATTTTTGGACTTGTAAATAATAGAGAAAATATTAAAAGAACAATTATATACCAAGATGATAAATTTATGTGATTATTTTGTACTCAGCTCTGCTATTTATAGTGTTAACTTGGGAAAGGTACTTAAATCCATTCTTCCATTTCCTCCCCTGTCACCTGAAGATAATAATGGTAACTGAACTCACAGCGGTGTTGTTAAGGGTTAAAATAAGTTACTATGTGGAATGCCCTTGCCAGAGGATCTAACAGAGTCTGTGCCCATCAAGTACCTGACCTTTCTATTATCATTACACATTTCGATCTCGGACTCTCAGTCTGCACAATATACGCTTATCTGGACTTTTCAGGAAGGGCAAAAGGCCAATCTTAAACAAAGGAAATTTCTATAAAACTTCAATTATGTCATTTCCCACATTTACATCTAAGAGTGCACACCATCCCAAAATAACAGCCGTTGCCAGTGAAGGAACCAAACACCAGCTGTGATCCAGAGTACCTAAAGAGCTACACCATCCTTTTCTGAAGTTTTATGTTGCTCGTAAAATTAGTCATTTGTGAATTTTCCAAATTGTTTAATACATGGATTTGGTTTTTTCCTTTTTTGCTTGAAGCAAACAGAGGTTGATAATTTTTTAAACCTTTTATTTTTATGTTTTGTACTCTGCAAGAAAACAAAAGTTTATCTTGGTTTTAATATATAAAAGTGCGCTGTATCCACAATCGTGTATAGATTTTTCTTCATGGATTTTGTGTTTAAATTAGTAAAACTGATCTGTTAAATAAAAAGGAGGGACGGCCCAGTGATGCAGTGGTTAAGTGCACGTTTTGCTTTGGTGGCCTGGGGTTCACCAGTTTGGATCCTGGGTGTGGACATGGCACTGGTTGGCAAGCCATGCTGTGGTAGGCGTCCCACATAAAAAATGGAGGAAGATGGGCACAGATGTTAGCTCAGGGCCAGTCTTCCTCAGCAAAAAGAGGAGGACTGGCAGCAGATGTTAGCTCAGGGCTAATCTTCCTCAAAAAAAAAAGCAGAGGTGCTGTCTCTTGATAAATGCATTATATACATTATTATGTAATCCTTAAAACAACTGCTGGGAAGTACTTTAATTAATCTTTGCAACAATCCTATGGATACATGATAAAATCCACTTTCCTACTCACTTTTTACTTAAATTAAAAAAAAATTTTCATTTTGATAAGAAACACACAAAGTTTACCATCTTAACCATTTTTAAGTGTACAGTTTGGTACTGTAAAGTTGTTGTGCACCAATCTTCGTAACTCTTTCATCTTGCAAAACTGAAACTCTAGGAGTGATGTCAGCAACATGGTGAGTGAGTCACTCCCTTCATCTCTCCCCTCTAAGTTACAACCACTCAGACATCCAGTGACCAAGGAAGGACTCCCTGCACAGCACACCAGAACACCTGAGTATCCATGTATCTGTACGTCTGAAGGTGGGTGGACTGGACCTCCGGGAGGCAGTGGAACTCAGGGAGCAGTCCCCTCCCTCTCCTCTGGCAGTGGCAATCCAAAACATAGATTCTAACACTGTTGTGCACGCCAGTAACCACAGGCTGCAAGGGCAAACAGGTCACTCATGGCTTAGGCCCTGCCCTCCCCACCGGTGGTGGCAGGAGGGGCACATGTCCCTGAGGCTCCAGGTCACAGTGGAGCCAGCAACTCGGCCCCCTCCCCCTCCCCCATCAGGGGCATCAGTCTTTCCAGCAGTGGAGACTATATCCAAGACATAAATTTCCCTGGCAGGGGTGGGGTGTCCTGAACTGAGGTTTCAGAGCAGGCTGCCAGCGCATGCCAAAGCCGGCAAGCAGAGGCTGCAGCCCTGTTCCCCTTCAGCAGTGGCAGATGGTACAAACATCCTGAGGCTTCAGGACACAGAGTGGTGCCAGTGACCCAGCCCCCTCCTCTTCCCATGGCAGTGGTGCTGGTCTCTCCAGCAGCAAAGACTGCAAATAAAGTGCATATTTGATCCACAGGAGCAGGGTGCCCTTACCAGAGGTCTCAAAAAGCACATCAGTAGACACCAGTGACCAGGGACTGCAGGGCCAACAGTAAAACTTGTGGCTTACCCCTACTCCTCCCCTAGCAGTGGCAAGTGGCACCTGCAACGTGAGGCTTCAGGAACCACAGTAGAATGTAAGACCCAGAACCCAGTGCTGGCAACCCAACACTGGCTCTCCCAGCAATGGGGCTGCATACAAGAAGCCAGGCCCCAATAGCAACAGCAACACCTGTGAACCCAGCGCCCCTGGCAGCAGTGCAGCCAGCACCCTCAGATAACCCAAGAGCAGCAGTGCAGAGGGTCTAAGGGGCAACAGAACCCAAGCCTGTAAACAGCCTATGGAGAGAAATGGGGGAACACGAGACCCAGGCAACCCTGGAAGCAGCAGAAGTGCTCATAGCCTGGTGACCCTAGTGGAAAGACCTGAGCCTGCAGTGACATCGAAAGCAGCAAGGCACCAGCAATATCAGTGGCACAAGCAGCACAACCCAGGCACTGATGACACCTCTAGTAGAGGCAGTGTAGGGGGAAAGTACAGGCTCTCAAATACAACCAGAAGCAGCTCAGAACCAAAGTAACCAAAGCTGTACTCAAATAAGAAAGGTGGTTACTACCAAAAACGCACCAGCAGAGGACCGATTCGTCAAACACCACGAAAAACTACAGTAACATGGCAGCACAGAAGCAGAACGACAGCTCTCCAGAAACCAAACTTGGAGTTACAGAAGATCACAATCTGACTGACAAAGAAATCAAAACAGCTGTCATAAAGAAACTCTACAAGTCACAACAAAATTCAGAAAGACATTTCAATGAGCTCAGGAATAAAAATAATGAAGAGAAGCAACACTTCACCACAGAGAATGAAGCTCTAGAAAAGAACCAAATAGAAATTCTAGAAATGAAAAACACAATTAATGAGATAAAAAATAATGTAGAAAGCATAAAAAATAGAGCAGACTTTAAGGAGGAGAGAATCACCGAGCTTAAGGATACAAACTTAGAAATGATATGGGTGGAGGGGGAGAGAGAACTAAGATTTTTTAAAAAATGAAGAAATTCTTCAAAAATTATTTGACTCAATTAGGAAAAGTAACATAAGGATTATAGGCATCCCAGAGGGAGACGCGAGGGAGAGAGGAGCAGAGAGTTTATTCAAAAAAATAATAGCTGAGAACTTTCCAAACCTGAGGGAGATACTGGACATGCAAGTACAGGAAGCTAACAGAATTCCTAATTACATCAATGCAAAAAGACCTGGGGCTGGCCTAGTGGCGCAGCAGTTAAGTGCGCACATTCCATTTCAGTGGCCTGGGATTCGCCAGTTCGGATCCCAGGTGTGGACAGGGCACTGCTTGGCACGCCATGCTGTAGTAGGTGTCCCACATATAAAGCAGAGGAAGATGGACATGGATATTAGCTCAAGGCCAGTCTTCCTCAGCAAAAAGAGGAGGATTGGCAGCAGTTAGCTCAGGGCTAATCTTCCTCAACAAAAAAGAAAAAAGAAGAAGAAGACCTTCTCCAAGGCATATAATATTAAAACTGTCAAAAGTCAATGACGAAGGAAAAATATTAAGAGCAGCAGGAGAGGAGAAAATAATCTACAAAGGAACCCCCATCAGGCTTTCAGCAGATTTCTGAGAAAACTTACAGGTTAGGAGACAGTGGAATGATATATCCAAAATACTGAAAGACAAGAACTATCAGCCAAGAACACTCTATTGAGTGAAATTATCCCTCAGATATGACAGAGAAATAAGTTTTCCCAGACAGACAAAAGCTGAAGGAGTTCATCACCACTAGACCTCCCTTACAAGAAATGATGAAGTGAGCCCTCATACCTGAAACAAAAAGGCAAAGGTTTACAAAGCTTTGACCAAGGAGACAAATAGACAAAATCAGAAAATTGCAGCTCTATATCAGAATAGGTTAGCAAACAATTATAAAATAAAGGATAAAGGGAAAGAAAGCATCAAAAATAACCACAAGCTGCTCAATTTGGTCACAAACTCATGACACCAAGAAGAATAATTTGTGACAACAAAAATATAGCAGGGGATGAGGAAAAGGATAGAACCCATATAGGCTAATGGAGATAAGAGGCTATCAGAAAAAACATTATCAGGGCCGGCCCAGTGGCGCAGCAGTTAAGTTCACACATTCTGCTTTGGCGGCCCAGGGTTCACCAGTTCAGCTCCTGGGTGTGGACAAGCCATGCTGTGGCAGGCATTCCATGTATAAACAGTAGAGGAAAATGGGCATGTATGTTAGCTCAAGACCAGTCTTCCTCAGCAAAAAGAGGAGGATTGGCAGCAGATGTTAGCTCAGGGCTAATCTTCCTCAAATAAATAAATAATAAAAAAAGAAAAGAAAGAAAAATTATCTCATCTATGAGATCTTTTACTCAAACCTCATGATAACCCCAGGATAAAAAATCAAAGATTCACAAAGCATATACAAAGAGAAAACTGAGAAAATCATCACGGAAAACCACCAAACTGAAATGGAAGACAGAAATACAAGGTAAGAAAACAATGGAAATATAGAACAACCAGAAAACAAAAGATAAAATAGTAGTATTAAGTCTTCATATAGCAATATTCACTCTAAATGTAAATGGATTGAATTCACCAATCAAAAGACACAGGGTGGCTGGATTGATTAAAAAACAAGACCCAACAATATGCTGCCTCCAGGAAATACATTTCAGCTCTAAACACAAACAAAGGCTCAGAGTGAAGGGATGGAAGATGATACTCCAAGCAAATGGCAAGCAAAAGAAAGCAGGCGTCACCATACTTATATCAGACAAAGAAGACTTCAAGATAAGAAACATAATGAGAGACAAAGATGGGCATTATATAATGATAAAAGAGACATGTCAACAAGAAGACATAATGCTTATTTATATGCACATAACACAGGAGCACCAAAGTATGTAATA